AGTACATAATGCTTATCGATACAGATAACATTATAAGCTATATCAAATGTAATAAATAATAATAATAATAATAATAATAATAATAATAATAATAATAATGTAGAAATGTAAAATTAAATACATAATAAATGTATAAAATATGTATAAATGTATAATACGTATAAATAATATAATAATTCACATTTCCCGAGAATACGTGTACAAACTTTATCAGTTATATTATTAGACAAATATTATTAATTATTAGTTATTAATCAATGGTTTATTCACGGCACACACAATAAAATTTACTGAAACTTAGAATCTAAAAATAAAATGTATTTCTAGAAAAATTATTAAATTTGATATTGCGATATATCGTAGAACTATAGAACGATACCGGTGCCGAAAATATGTCACGATATCGATATTGTATCGAATTATCGACATCGTTGCCCATTACTAGTTATAAGTAATTATATTTTATCTACGCAATGATTTTAAAATGATCAAACTATGAATTTATTTATTTGTTTAGTAGTCAAGTGTATAATATGTAATATGCACCATTATGCAACCAATTTTCCAGAAATTTCATGTAATGTTTAATATAGTAATTTCACATTTAATTGATGTTTTAAACTTAAATTTATTAATTTCTCAGTACATTATAGTTAAACTACTACAGACATACGAACATGTATAAATAAAAGTTGTGATATTCTACCATGAGCACGCAATGACCGTAAAATATTTTTTTTATACCAGTCATTATTGTACCTATTTGTTTTGTATTTTAAAACGGACATTCGAATTTCTACCATTTATTTATGGCGAATGTCCAGTTATATATCCAAGTTATTATTTTGAAGTAATTTTTTTTTTTTTTTAAACTAATCGAGTCTTATTTATTATTCAATTTGGTAATAATTTATTAGCTAATGACAGTAATGCATTTATAGTAAATATAAGTTGCAATTTAATACATATGACTCAGAACGTTATTGTTCTTGAATAAAATGTTGTTTATACGCTTAGAGTTATTCTTTGTGTGCTATGTGTTTGAATCGACATTTTAAAATATATACGTTATATGATAATATGAAATATAAGATACGTGTATGACTAACAATTTATAATTGTTCAGGAACCCTGTTTTACGGGAGTCCGATCCGTTACACATAACATTATCAAATACTTGCGACAAAATACATAGTTTCCATATTGTTATAAACGTATAAAATACGTAGGCACCAATCTGTTGCACGTTAGCGGAACTGTTTACAGATGAAATTATTTACACGCGCCTAAATAGGTACATTCACATCCGCTGAATGCGGTCGCACATATTTCGGTAGAGGTCAGGAAACCGTGTGCTGTATGACAGGTCAACGTAATATTATTCACATTTTTGAGGAATAAAAAACATAATTTTCGCCGTGGACACTTTCTCCGGAGAGCGCCGATGGACTATTGAATATATATTTATATAGATATACACGGGTACCTAGTTATGTAGGTGATCGTAATTGTCTTGACCGTGTGAACAATCGTACGTACGGTTAAACCTTTAAGGAAATCGACGTTCTCGCGTACAGTCGGATGACACGATAAGATCGCTCTTTCAAAACCGCTGATGACCGTAACGTGCACGACGCTGAAGCGCGGCGTGTAAAAGCGTTTATCGCGATTTTCCATCTCTCCGTAACGGAAACGGACGCAGTAGTTGCTCGGGGGGTCCGTTTTCTTTTCTTATACGCGCTGGGAAGGGGGGAGGGGGAATACGACACTCTCCCGTATTCGCAGTCCCGGAGCAACGAAGTGACACCGTGCGACCACGTTTCTTCCGAGTTACCGCGGTCCGAGATCCTTACCGATGTCGTTTTTCGCGACGAGCGCCGGAGGACATTTTCCATTTACCGGGTTGGACGGTAGGCCAACTTTGTACCGTCGAAAGTCGTAAACGGCGTTTCGTACAGCTGCGACGTTCGACGATCGGACCTGATCAACCCGCACCGTCAAAACAGTGGCGCATTTTTTACGCGGGGCACTGCAGACACGTGCCTACAGCGGCAAATCTAAAGAATTTGTATTGCTATTAACAAAAACGGTTTAAATCTTAAGAAATTATGTTTTAGTATTTAAGTAAAATTTGTTTTCCGTACTTACCTGATTAATATATATATATATTTTGTAGTAGATAAATCATAGTTTGATAATTCAATCAGTGCGGTATACTATTTCAGTTATTTAAAGCGGCAATTTTCCATTGGCCTACACGCGGCAAACATAAAAATATGCCCCTGCGTCTTATCCGTGCACTTCGTACCGGACGTAACCAAAGACGTGCGCAGACCTGCACTTTAGGGGGTGCCTACGATGCTTATGGGTCCTGTCTCCACAAAACGTGTAGGTATATTTAATAATTTTTTTTATTTTTTCTTATTGTCTTAAGGCTTCTCCTTGTCTCTGAAATCATTCTTTTCTTTCATTTTCCAGCGTTTTCATTCACTTATAATTTGCTAAAGATAATTGCTTTTCGCAGTTAACGAGTTGTGTTCCATTAATAAAAGTGGGGTAAACGAGTTATGTCGCAATGATGAAAGTGGGGTACACGAGATGTGTCCCTAAAAGTGAGGTAGATTTAAATCGATATTTTACACATGGATATAATATGTTGTTTCGTAAATTAAAATAAAAATGTATTTATAAATTATAAATAGGTTTATTGTATAAGACTTTAACCGAATAAAAGTCGATTTTGCCCATCATTATTGTTGTGTAGAGATAAGCTATGCGTGGAGCTACAAAGATTGTCATTGTAAGTTTACGATCATTATTATTTACAAATTCATCCTTTTTTTAAATATTATTTTTTTTTTGAAAATACTATCAATTATTATTGTTATTATACACAGATACTATAACTATTATTATAAATTAACGGAACAAATTTTACTTTTGTGTAAAATGTTATGTACACAATATATGTGTAATATTGTAATTGAAAAATGTATCAATTTAAAATACAATTGTGTATACAACTTCTGTAGGTACCTGTATATTTTATTTTTCGGGACATTCGTGTGTCTCAAAAAAATACATCGGACACAACTCGTTTGTAGCCTTAGTTTTTCATACTTCCCAAATTTTTTTCCCTCGACTTTCCTCTTCCTCGTTATCCATTTATTTTTCCTTCCATAAAACTTGTAATAAAAGTGTTACGTCTTAAAATGTGTCGAAAAAACTTGGGTTTTCTTATGTTTATCATTTTGATAATTTTTCTTTGTTCATTTACCATATTTAAAACTTCCATGTTTGATTTCTTTTCTATCCAATTGGTCTTGAAATAAATAATAAATATATAATACATTTTTATGTATAAATAATTAAGTAAACGTAATTTTAATTTTTTATTTAATATCGTATTATATTGATGTCAATGAATATACTTTTCTTGAATCATGTATATTTTTCTCAGATAGCTTCAGCTATTCATGATTTGTTATTTTTTTTTTTTTATTATATAATATATCCACGGCTTCTATGGCCATTGGACATGACAATTTTTTTTTTTTAACTTAATATATAAAATAAACAAATAGATTGGTGCAGGTTGGTTACAGGAGGTTAATGAGGTATGTATTTGTGAGGAATTGGCAGAGCTTGACGATATTGTCTGGTTTGGGGCTTAATGATTCTGCCAGGTGATAAGATATCTGCTGCTTAATTCTCTCCATATTGTGTGCGTTACATTCGGTGATTATATGTTTGACTGTAAGAGGGACCCCACAGCATATGCAAATGGGGGGGGGGTCCTCTTTTTTCATTAAGTGTGCGTGTGTAAGACGTGTGTGTCCGATTCTGAGGCGGTTAATAACTGTCTCGTATTTTCTTGGGGTGTTGACAGGAGATTTGTTATTTTGTAATCGATTGTAACTATTAAATTACCATAAGAAGTTTTTCACCAAAATTTAGAAAATTTAGTTCTATTTTTTTCTGTTACGAAATATTATTTAGTTTTTATCAAATATTTTAGAATAAATAACATTTAATTTGAGCTAGATAAGTTAAAATATGGGCCCCTTACTCTTAGGCTTAAATCGTAGGGCCCCATTTACAATATTTTGGGGAGGGCGTGCTCATATGGACGTAACTTACGTAGTCTTCCGATGCAGTGTCGTGTAGGTACATTTTCCGAGTCGTCATTGACTGTAGTGCAAGGCCGGTGAAAGGCGTCTTAATGTTTATTTTTTTTCTGTCAAGTGTAATATATTTATAGCCGCTAAATATGGTTTCACAGATTTCAGCAGAGGTTAGGAGAGTGTGCGTTGTATAATAATATTATGTTGTATTGAATATTCGCTATAACTGAATAACTCAAAGAATAAAATAACACTATGTCAGCTGTGGATACTTTCTCCGCAGATGGGTAATTGAATAGTTGTATGGTATATGCGCCTATAACGTACTAACATTGCATACCACTATAAGAACATCTTTAGTAAAATATATATATATATATTTTTTTTTTCAAATTATTTATTCACATTATTTAGATACGAGACATTATTTCAAAATCAATAATTGGTACCTACTTATACACCGTTTTCAAAGAAGATGTCGTATGAGCACTAACTATAATTGTACTATATCTTCACAAATCTTTCTTATGAAATTTGCATATACGCAATTTGTTCATTTTAGTTTACAATGTACTTGTTATAATATGCTTTGACATTTTTCCTATCGTTCACACAATCGACTTATGTTTGTAATTTAAGCTGATAATAAAATCATGTCGAATACAAAAACGGTTGTATATGGTACTTATTGATTCGATCAATCTGGTTCATTTATGCGAATTCTGCGTGTATTTTTTTTCACTCGGATTATGCACATAATTTATGTGACGTCATAGATATATTTTCCGAGTTGTCCTTGACTAGTGAAAGGTGTCTCGTATTTTAGTAGTTTATAAAAAAAGGTAGGTAGGAGAAGTTTTTCGAGGGAAAAAGGGGTCATCAAGACTGTTTCTTGTTTCGTGCACACATGTATTTGATACGTAACAGTAAATACATGTGCATAGTGAAGTAGATGTTGGTATCTCGCTTTGATGGATAGGTAAGTCAAATTAATGATTTCAATTAATAATAAGAGTACACATTTTATAGTTTGAATAGAATATATAAAAAAAATAATTAGGATTATTTAATTAGTTGAATTTACCTAAAAAATTGTTGTTAACAGTTAATAAAAAAAAAGTATTTTTATGATTATGAGGTTTGAACATTTTAACTTAGTAAAAATACGTATAGATTACTATAGAAAATTTTATAAGTTGAAATTATACATCAGAAAACATAACAGATTTATTATAATTTTGAAAATGTATTTTGCTACTTCTATTCTACTTGCTATTTACTTTGCTATGATGAGACGATTTATCTCGTGATTTTAATTTGCCAGTATAAATTGTAACTTTATGAATAAATACAATTAAAATGTGCACAAAAATTAATAATACTACAAAATTAATAATCGTCAGTGTTTATGATTAAATAATCATTTAAAAAATTTAATTTTTTCTGTACTTTTAATTAAAGGCATTTCATATTATGATAATTGTGTTTATAATTTATATTTAAAATTGTTATAATTGTTTCAATTATATACTTTGTGTTATAGTAAATAAAATTTTTTTTTAACCATACAATTAAAAATAAAACTATGCTATTCTATTGGATGATTAATTATTAATTACGTATCATTAAACAAAAAAAAAAAA